TTTTATATATATATATATATATATATATATATATATATATATATATATATATATATATATATATATATATAAACCAAATAAAATATATAATGCATTTTCTTCTAATAAATGATCCTTAAATTTCTAACGCCACCGATGTAACGACCTATTTATTCTCGAACTTGTATTTTTTAACACAATAATTTCTAAACTTGTTTAATAGTTCCAAAATCGTCTATACCGCTATTTAACCCAAACAAAATTTAGGAATTACTGTGTTTAAAAATGCAAGTTTAAGAATTACTGTGTTAAAAAATATAAGTTTAGAAATTAATATGTTCAAAAATATAAGTTCGTGAATAAATAAGCACACCTACAAGTTCAAGAATTAATATTACACCAAATTATAAGTTCAAAAATTTTTAGGTATTTTTTTCTTTTTTATATAATTATTATAAAATCGTATACATATATATATACATGCATGTATGTATATATGGATGGAGCATGTGATTGTGGTTAGGTTGGCATAGGACATGGAAAGCATAAGGCATTCATTAATATGAAAGCAAAGAATAAAGGCAACTACGATATTTGTGTCGGTGCTTTTTTTATGTGTCATTAACTCATCGGGAAAAAATAATTTATAATTTATAATTTTCCCCAATTTATTATAATTAATTTACTGCACATATATAAAATATTATATACATATATAATATAATACAAGTAGGCACACCGCCCATAAGAATTCTGTATATTTTCTAGTTGACAATATTTTTTTTTTATTTAACCGACAAAAAATCCAAGTTTAGATTGTCACTCCACGTATATTTTCTAGTTGACAATATTTTTTTTTTATTTAACCGACAAAAAATCCAAGTTTAGATTGTCACTCCACGTATATTTTCTAGTTGACAATATTTTTTTTTTATTTAACCGACAAAAAATCCAAGTTTAGATTGTCACTCCACGTATATTTTATTTACAGCCACAATATATTGTGAATTAGTTTTGTTTTAACCATGTTTACATATCCGAACCTTATATTAAGCTTGCGTTATTTTTATTTTATTTTCTTTTATTTTATAGAGGTCTTTATTAAATATTTTGATTGCGCTATCTTTTTACATTTTTGTAATTTTTTATAATAGAAAAAAAAAACAAGTAAATAGCCTTACACTTAAACGTGATTATCGATTGTAACGAGGGCATTTATGTAATTTTAACTGATCAGGTCGCTAAAGCGTATCAGCCTTTTTCACCCGAACACGTGGTAAGTGATCATTGGTTGCTCTGAATCGTACAACCATGCACATCCCTTTTTTTGCATTAAAAATAGACGTAGACCTGTGAAATAATATATATATATATATATATATATATATATATAACTATTTTCATAATTTGAAAATAATATAAAAAGTTTCTAATACCATGTACAATATTTGTCAATTAATAACATAATATAGGTCTTAGTACCGCAATTTTTGCGCATAATAATGGATATACAATTTACAAATCTATAAATTTGGATGGATACAAACTAGGGCGGGTCGGTTCGGTTCTTCGGAACCGATCCGAACCGAACCGTGAAAACAGTATTTTTTTTATCCGAAACCGTTGTTATTTTCCAAACAGTTTTTAGAGAACCGAATTTTTCCGGAACCGAACCGAACCGAACTTTAAAAATCCCGAAAAACCGAATATTTTTAAAAGAAATCTATCATTTTTTTTAATAAAACCCGGAACCGAACCGAACAGATACCGAAACCGAACCGAACCGAATACAATAAAAAACCTGATTAGTATCTATTTTTGTAAAACCAAAAAAACCGAACCGATTCATCTGTCCCAAATCCCAACCGTTTTCCGAAACGTCTATTAGGACGTCCACTCCTAATACAAATCCACACTTATTGATATAAAAATATTCGTTTTTATAATTGAAGGGGATTTTTTGAAAGTTTTTTTTATTACTATAATATATATTTCTTAAAAATAAGTTTTGTTATTTAGACAATGCGATAATATCCTAGAGTTGTAAAAATAACGTACATATATTTCACCTCGATTTTTAAATAATTTAACTATTATTGACGTTTGTGTGAGTAATATATAATATTAAATTATTATAAAAAAAATATAATATCAAATAAACTTCGTGCTCCCGCACTCCGAAAACATTGTTATGATGGATGGTTCACTTCTAAGAAATCTCAATAAAAATGATAATCATTCATTGTTAATTGCGAAAATTATAACAATAATTTACGATTAATCAAATTAATTTTTTTAATAAAGTAATCAAATTAATTTTAAAAGTAATATTATTTTGAGTATAAAAAATGAATAATTGTACATACGGCTGACGTCATGACAAGTATACTATACCAGCAAATGTCTTTTTCCCTATATCTACGTAATTATATGCCATATATATAATAAAAACCAACAAAAATTATACGACCATAAATTGCGGTAGATTTTACATGAGATTTTTTTTTTAAATAAAAATCGTTACTTGAGATATTTTGAAGAAAATTTTAAAATTATAATTGATATATTATGGCTTTATCTCGAGAGAAAGTTTAGTTTGGAATTCATAAAATATTATAAATTATTCGAAAGAAACGATCCAAATAGGTGATTATAAGTCTGAAATGAGCATACCATAAAAAAACTCGTAAAAATATTTTTTATATTACAGATTAACATAAAAAATCTAAATAAAATAATATTTTTTTAGATTGTATTTAGATGTGACTAATAAAAATATAATAGAATTTCGAAAATTTTGTTCAAACATAGTGTTAGTAACCGAAAATAGAGAAGTTGAAAATCATACTCGTGAAGATAAAATTTTAATTAAAATCTTTATTATCAATAAATTAAAAAAAAATAGTAGTTTATATTTATCCACTTTAATCATAATTAAAAATAAAATATAAAATGCGGATTATGGTGACATATGCACTTTAACAGCATATAATTATAAACTCCATATGTTTTTGTTGGTGGGAGACTTAACACTAATTATGGCTAATCTCATTTTCACACTACCAACTACCAAAATGTTTAATTATAATTAGCAATTTATACAAAATTGTATTAACTTAAAATTTTGTTCATTGTCGGCAGTGTTTATACAGTCCAAATCCCAAATCATTCAATCTAAAGCGACTGTTATATATATATATATATATATAAATTGGGAAATTGGTAAAAAAAATATAAAAAGGAAATAAAGGGGTGAGAGAGATTGGCAGAAAGAGGAAATATAATAATTTAATTATACCGGAAAATAAAAACAGAAAAATACTGAAAGATAGAGAATCCTAACCTCCATGTGCTTCAAGAAATACGCGCAGAAGGACGACATCGCTGTCTGGCAGAAACTCTCGGACAAAAACTGTTACGACAACATCGAGAGAGAGAGAGAGAGAGAGAGAGAGAGAGAGAGAGATGAGAATGAGATGCAGCAAAGCGAATGACAACTGGTGAAGAAGAAACCATGGGAGACACTTATATAAACCATCTCCCCTGCTTGCTTCACTTATTGTCTGCGTGTTAGAGAGAGAGAGAGAGAAGAGAGAGAGAGAGAGAGATCATAGGGCTACTGCTCTTTCTCTCCATCTTCTCGTGTTTATCGGCTGATTATCGATACCCTTCTCCTGATTTTCCGAGAAAGTTTTGACCTTTTTGTCTCTCCCGAAGAAAAAACCCGAGGGTAAGTCAAATCCTCAGCTCCTTGTTCGTTGAAACTAGTCCGGTTATGACCTTACTCTCTGTTCTGTTTCAGATCTAATCTGTATGGTGACTTCATGAAAAATGGATCCCTGTTGATTTTTCCAGTGTATATATCGATAGTTCGATGAGTAATCCGTATATATATATACTGCAAAGATCTGACATTTCGATGAATTTTCTAATCATTTTCCCTATTTGTTTTCGAGATAAAAACTTTTCTCACTGGGTTTCTTGATGGCAGAAATTGAAAATACTTCGACCCATCGGCAAAGTTTCGATCTTTGAACGTATTCACTATCCAATCCGTATATGTATGTTTTTCTTACATAGTAGATTTATTTTGGGATGGCTTTGCCATTTGGGTCCCAGAATCATGTCTGAAAAAAATGCAAAAAGTGATGAGACAAGGACTGTTCTTTCACATATCTTGAAGTTGCCATCAGATCTCAGTTTCCAACCATTGGATTGGTTCTCGATTAAGCTGTTATTAACCTTTGAGGCTCTGTATAGGGTTTGTTCTTCATTGGATTAGTTGTTCCACTCGATCTGATCCGGGTTCGTGTTATTTTCATTGTAAAATGGGGCAATAAGATCATGTTTCCATGAATTTGCCATGGTATTGTGATATGATCCTATACTTGATTCACTGTTTCTGCAGGTGGTAGCATCAAATCCTTGATCTTTTCACAAAACTGGTGAATTGTTTGTAGTGTAGAAACCATGAAGCATAAGGATGGAAAGCAAAGCCATCAACCCGAAAAGGGTTCGAGGCTCATCTCAACGACGGTTCTGCTCGTCGTTTTGTGCGGATTTTCCTTCTACCTCGGCGGTATATTCTGTTCCGAGAAGGACAGAATCAGAATCGGGACCAAAGAAACCACGAGAACGGCAGTAGCTTCCCCTAAGGAACCCAAAGTTTCCCCTCTCCAGATAAAGTCTGTATCTTTCCAGGAATGCGGGACTGAATTCCAAGATTACACCCCTTGCACAGATCCAAAGGTAAAATCTATTGGAACTCATCCATTTTCATTCACTTGTAATGATCTTTAATCTTTAGAATGATATGTATATATAATGTTTTACTCTGTTTTATTGCAGAGGTGGAAGAAGTATGGTGTTCACCGGCTTAGTTTCTTGGAACGGCATTGCCCTCCGGTTTACGAGAAGAAGGAATGTCTAATTCCGCCGCCGGTTGGGTATAAGCCGCCGATTAGATGGCCGAAGAGCCGAGACCAGTGTTGGTATAGGTAAAATCAACAATCTTTTTAGCTGTTTACCCTTTACAGATATCGGGATCGATTTTTTTTTCTCGTTCTGATATAGAAATGTTCAAATGGGTTTGGTTTATAGGAATGTTCCATATGATTGGATCAACAAGCAGAAATCTAATCAGAACTGGCTCAGGAAAGACGGCGAAAAATTCATTTTCCCGGGCGGTGGCACGATGTTCCCCCGTGGAGTGAGTCACTACGTTGATTTGATGCGAGATCTTATTCCCGGGTTGAAAGACGGGACAGTTCGGACCGCCATTGATACCGGCTGCGGGGTGAGTTTTTACTCTCTCACATTTCGTTATTCGTTACACTATGAAATCGTTTATAAATCTCGTTTTTTCCCTTTAGGTTGCGAGCTGGGGAGGCGATCTTTTGGACCGGGGAATTTTAACACTATCTCTTGCTCCGAGAGATAACCATGAAGCTCAGGTTCAGTTTGCTCTCGAACGTGGAATTCCCGCGGTTCTCGGGGTAATCTCTACTCAACGGCTTCCTTTCCCATCGAGTTCTTTCGACATGGCTCATTGCTCAAGGTGTCTTATTCCATGGACAGAATTCGGTTAGGCATCCTACCCGTTTCACATTTCCTTTCCTCGTTTTGAATATCGAGAAATGCATCAAGATCATGACGAAAAACCCGTGTCTGGTTTTCAGGCGGAATCTATTTACTCGAGATTCATCGTATACTCCGTCCTGGTGGCTTTTGGGTCCTGTCCGGCCCTCCCGTGAACTACAAGAACCGATGGAGAGGATGGAACACGACTATCGAAGATCAGAAATCCGATTACGAGAAGCTTCAATCCCTTCTAACCTCCATGTGCTTCAAGAAATACGCGCAGAAGGACGACATCGCTGTCTGGCAGAAACTCTCGGACAAAAACTGTTACGACAACATCGTACAGAAAACCGATGCTTACCCGCCTAAATGTGACGACAGTATCGAGCCCGACTCGGCATGGTACACTCCCCTCCGGCCCTGCTTCGTTTCCCCGAGCCCGAAAGTCAGGAAATCAAGCCTCGGGTCCATACCCAAGTGGCCCGAGAGGCTACATGTTACGCCCGAGAGAATCTCAGACATTCATGGAGGAAGTGCTAGTGGTCTGAAACACGATGATGGCAAATGGAAGAACAGAGTTAAACACTACAAGAAACTTCTCCCGGTTCTCGGGACAGAGAAGATAAGGAACGTTATGGATATGAACACTGTCTATGGAGGGTTGGCCGCTGCCCTAATCGAGGATCCTGTCTGGGTAATGAACGTTGTATCCTCGTACGGTGCCAATACTCTCCCTGTAGTCTACGACCGTGGCCTCATCGGAATTTACCACGACTGGTAAAAACCGCAATCTCGTAACATTTTTCAATGTTGCTTTATATATATACACACACACGCGGGTTTATAATGTGGGATACCGATGCAGGTGTGAAGCTTTCTCGACATATCCAAGAACTTACGATCTTCTACACCTCGATGGCCTGTTTACCGCCGAGAGCCAAAGGTACATTCCTTTTCCCGACCCGAAAGTCTCCTCCTTTCTCTTTTTTGCCATGAAAAAAGATCACTTTTTAGATCCGGCCATCGAATTGGAATAAAAGAATCGGCATTAGGGGTGGTCATTTTGTGTTTCGGCTCGGTTATTTTCGAATTCGGTTATTTTGGTTTTAAAGAAACTGTAAACGTTTGGTTTGGTTTCGATTTTTAGTGGTGGTTTTCAAAGAAATTTTCGGTTATTTTTTATATTCGGTTCGGTTTTGATTTTTTCAGTTTGAGAGAAATTATACCCATCTGGTTTTTATATTCAATTCGGTTCGGTTAAGATCATGTGTTATTCGGTTATTAACCAAATTGGCCACTCCTCATCTATATGTATTAAGAATCTCGTATAACCCGGTTTACTTGACCAGGTTAAGCAGTGTCGGTTCAGTTCCGGTTTTCATAGGTTTTGGTTAACCGGTTGGTGGTACGTGAAACAGGTGCGAGATGAAGTACGTGTTACTGGAGATGGACCGGATTCTTCGACCGAACGGTTACGTAATAATAAGGGAATCCAACTATTTCATGGACGCGATTGTCAAGATCACGAAGGCGATGAGGTGGGGATGCCGGAAGGAAGAGACGGAGTACGCCGTCGAGAGCGAGAAGATTCTGGTTTGCCAAAAAAAGCTCTGGTTTTCTTCTAACCAAACCTCGAGTTGAAACCGGTATACTCGACGAGATAACCGGGAATAACCGGGTGTTTGAGAAAGTTAGCCGTTTCTCTTTTTTTTTTTTATAATTCGTCGGGTAAAGTATAAGGTAGCCGATACTGAATCATACGATTATTCTTTGAGGTTATATATACTTTTATTCATATATATACATTTTAATATTTTCATTTATAACGATTACTCGAAATTTAATAAATAAAGTAATTGTTTTTCTTAATAATTCTACGAAGTTGTACCCTTTTTAGTAAAAAGATGTGATTTTAGATACACATTATCAGATCTACAACAAAAATGTTGATACAAGTTTAAGAAACTTTTAAACCACAAAAATACATAAAATAAATTTATTTCTATAAAAAAAAAAAAACAAGTCATCTCAAACCGAATATAAAAATAATAAAAAATCTCAGTAAATTTCTTTTAGAAAAATAAGTATTTTTATCATTAAAAACCGAACTAAACCAAATATAAAATCCAATCAAACCAAACCCAAACCAAAATCCGAGACGCCAACCCCTAAAAATTTACCAATAATTTGGAGAGTCGGGTTGGTTTTCCTTTGAGCGGTTTCTCATCTCCTCGATTCCGGACTGAGAAAACCGCTTTCGGAGAACTCGAAGAACATCTTCAACCTTCTTTGCCAGAAGCACCATCGAGTGGTATAAGACATCAGCCATCTCAGATACTGTCCGAGAATTTCCCTCATTCATCGTCTTCCACTGTTCTGCATAACTCACCAGCCTCTTCCCTGTACCATTATTACCACCACCATCTTATGTTTCTATGGCGAAAGGCTGATATCCGATAATATAGAATGTAGAATATACCGTATTTTCGAGCATAGCAAACTGTCATCGGTCAATAAGTGTCGGGTCCATGAGGGTTTGCCTTCTTGAGGAACTTCCAGCTCGTCTTTCCGCTTGGAAATGGTTGACAGAATCATTGTCACATTCGGGACAGATATCATGAACGTTTATATAGTTTTTGGACATCTCTCCTTTCGCCCATAAGGTTGATCTTGACCGGCTGAAGAATGTCGCCTTCCGGTAAGCAACGGTCGTGGATAGGGCCTCATTGTTTACAAACCCTTGCATCAATATGGCACCCATATCGACATTTTGTGCAAGGCCTTTGTGATCCCATTTCATTCAGTCCAACAACTTGTCTACCTAAACAAAAACACAGCAAAACAATAAAAGAACAATCAATAGTTCAGAATAGAACGCGAGAGAAATATCAAATTCCCTATTAACAAAAGATAATTCCTTTCACACAAGCTTAAATGCTTCATTTCGGCCATCTAAGTGTATCAAAGTTGTAAAAATGCAAAACTTTCTCGAAGGGTAAAACATGAAACACAGCACCAGGTTGAATCTTGAACCCCATAAAACAGAATTCATCATGGATGCAGATGACCGGGCCTTGGAGAGAAATCACGACCAAAAGATAGAAACCATCAAAAGGCCTTTCCTTCTCTCTCATTTCTTTACCAGACATGTAACAGTCCCAACTCATAAGACAAAGAGTAGACACTTGACTTATGTCTGGTCAGATCGGGGATCACCAAAAGAATAAATCTCGACACAAAACATCCAGATATATGCCAGAATTCAATTTCACATGTGGAGAACAGATGTAGCTCATGTCATCATGGTTGCAGATGACCGGGCAACGATGAACGCCTCGGAGGGAAATCCAGACCAAAAGATGGAAACCATCAAAAGGCCTTTCCTTCTCTCTCATTTCTTTACCAGACATGTAACAGTCCCAACTCATAAGACAAAGAGTAGACACTTGACTTATGTCTGGTCAGATCCTGGGATCACCAAAAGATGAAATCTAGATGCAGAGAAATGTCAGGATTCAATTTCACATGTGGAGAACAGATGTAGCTCATGTCATCATGGATGCAGATGACCGGGCAACGATGAACACCTTGGAGAGAAATCCAGACCAAAAAGATGAAAACCATCAAAAGGCCTTTCCTTCTCTCCCTTTCATTTACCAGAAATGTAACAGTCCCAACTCATGTGACAAAGAGTAGGCACCTGACATATGTCTGGTCGGATCCTGGGAGATAGAAATTCAACCCAACAGTAGTAGCTACAAATCATTCTCACGTCGTTATAATTTCTGCACATTTATTCGATTACTTACAAAACCTTCGAGAGAAATCAAAACCGGAAATGGAAACCATCTCAGGGGTTTGCCTCATCTTTCTTCTCTTTCCCGGGCGTTAAACAGTTCCCACACACAAACTCCATGGTGGGCAAACTGAATCAACCTAGGCAAGTTCTTACACAAATCGATACCGACAAAGAGGAAACTTCAACGACAACAACAAACGATGCATCAGCTCAAATCCCAGAGTAGCATTTCACCAATTCGAATAAAACAGCAAGATCATTTCACTACCTTCACGTGAAAAAAATCGTTCTGATCACTTGATGCGAAGACAACACTGGATCTTTCTCTTCGACTTACTGTCTCTGACGCAGCAAGAGAGGGGAACGTAGCAGCCTCCCCTCGCTGGTAATGACTGAACTAATGCAGGGTAACAGACCGCCATTGGAGCCACCTTTAAACTCAGATCCACATACAGAACAGGAACAGCAAGAGAGAGAGGGAGAGGTGGTCGTCCTGAAAGGGACGATAATGGCGGCGGTGACGTAGGAGAAATGGGGAAAAAAAACCTAATTCTCTCGATCGTCTGCTAGATACAGCTACAATGACTGAATGACGTGTCTTATAAAGAACATTTCTACGAACTAAAAAGACCAACATACCCCTGTTAGAAGACTTATTCACTGAACCACCATTGTACGGCTCCGGTACTCTATATTGTGGGCTGATAATGATACTTCGATTCGTTGCCCAACGTTCTCGAGGCAAGGCCCCATTCTCCTTTTGAGAATTTGGAATATGAAAATAGAGATTGATATTAAAAAAAATGATTTATTATCGGATTAATATAAAAATAAATAAATAAATAAAAATAATTGTTTTAGTTTTATTTTTGTAGGATATATACATGACGTTGTTGTATACATATGTTTGTGGGGTTAAGGTTACTATTAATTTAATTTGTATGAGTAAATTTTAAAGTTTTAAGATTTTTTTTTTGTGTGTGGGATTGGTGGTATTTAGATATTTTCATTGAGATAGGATATAAAATTTTTTATTTTTGGATTTTCGATTTGGTTGAATTAATCGGATAATTGTTCGAAAATGGGACAATGAAAGTCCAAACTGTCACATGGTAATTTTCTTGAAATGTATTTTCCTGGTAAATTTATTTTATTTTCTTTTTGTTCTTTAACAAAATATATTTTCCTGGTTAATAACTTAATATGGAACAAAGAAACCAAAAGAGGAAACAACAACAAAAAAAAAAACAAAATGGAATACAAATCACCTTAACAAAAAAAAATGGAAAATGTGTGATTTAATGCCTAGTAATATTATTTTACTTGATTTTTTTTTCACTGCCACGTAAAGGGTAACAGTAAAAACACATACCAATGTGAAAATGAATTCTGAAACATGGTTAATATATTGTTTTAGTGTTTTTTTCAACTCTTTGTTTAGAGTCTTAAGGGAAAATTAAGGCTCAAAAATTTGGAAATAAAGTACTGTTTTTAATCATTAAATTGCAAAATAAAAAGAAAAGAAAAAAAGTAAATGACCATGATTTCGAAATAAATTTTATTTTATATTTGGTCGAGTAATTCAAATTTGGATGATGCTTCATTATAAACAATACAAGAAAAAAAAAAGGTAATCGACTTGCAATGCTAAGATATTAATAAAGCAACCTTAAAATAAAAAAATAAATAAAAGAGGAAGGACATAATTAAGCCATGTTTTTTTCTTTTTTGTTTCTCTCTTTCCAAACCGAGAATATGCTCGAAGCTTTCGAAATCCCTTTAATGGATATATTTAGTTTTTGAAATATTTTAGAAATATCTTAATTTCAATTAAAAACATGCAATTTCTTCACAAGTATACAAACTAGTGGGGACAAAAAAGGAAATATACTGATTTAAAAAATACGAATTTATATGATCGTATCGTTTACAAAACTATATATTATAATGGTATATTCGATTTTACGCGAGTGTGTGTATACATGGCCGTCTCACTTTGACGGGGAAGCAAGTGGCCTTGGAAGAAGATATTATCTGCAGGAGACATATCCACAACGAAAGATTTGGTCTTAACGTTCGGGAAGAGGAGAATATGTGAAGACAGGGCCGTCTCATAAATTTTTGGGGCCCTGTACATATTTTAAATTTATATAAATTAATAAATTTAAAAATAATAATTTTAAATAAAATAAAAAAATTAAAAATTGTATTATTTCCAAAAACATTTAAAAATGATATAAATATATTTAATTTAACATAATATACCAATGAACTGCTATAATATATTTTAATTAGTTTTAATAAATGTTTTTTAATATATTTTATAGAAACAATCAGTTCTAATAAATGTTTTTTTATAACAATTATAATATATTTTGGTTTTAGCTGTTAAAAATAAATATTTTAATTTATTTAATAATAATAAAGATAATTAATAATAACAAAAATTGTTACAGTTTATAATTAATTTTAATTATTTTCTATTATTAATAATTAATAATTAATAAGGGGCCCCATAAATTTTGGGGGTCCTATTCCATCGCACCTTTTGAATATGCTAATAGACGGCTCTGTGTGTATATATTGTCCGATCCAACTATAGAGGGGATTAAGGGATCGAAAAAAACAAACCCCGAAATAAAAAAGGGAAAAAGCCGTAAAGCCGTGAAACATGTTTTTTTTTGTAAATTCTATTTTATATTTATATATGGAAATTTTCCTATATATATATATTATAATAATAATTTTATTTTTTTTATATTTGAGGACAAAACTAAAAATGTATGGGTTCGCAAAAAAAAAATCTAGTGATTGGTTATTTGTTTGGTTAGTTGCTTTGGTGGGGTTAAGCATAATGGTGTTGTTTTATTTGTTGCTTTCAATTTCTTTATAGACAAATTTTTTATTTATGAATATGAAATAATTTTTAAATTACTCCATTCTATCATTTTTTTTTAAAGTTTACAGTTTAAAACGTAATAATGTTCATAGAAATCTTTATTTTAATATAAGATATGCTTTACAATTCGGAGTCCGGCATGGATTATTATTATTTTTTTTTTGTAAAAAGGCATGGATTATTATTACTATATATAGATAACATTATTTAGGGTAAAAAATAAAATTCTAATGAGTAATTGAATATATTTTTTTGTCATCGCTATAACAAGACAATAAAGAGATTCGATGCTGCCACATGCAGAGAAAAAATGATACACACACACACACATATATATATATATATATATATATGTATGTATGCATGCATGCATGCATGTATGTATGTATGTATTGATTTTTGTTTATTGTGTTGGATGGAGTTTTTAACGCCCCTCTGTCATGAGCATTCTTTGCTTAAAGACATGTAAGACTCTGCGAATAAAGCGCACTATATATCTCGTATTGGTAATTAAAGGAAGGTGGGTATTCCGGTATTCGGTTCGAGTTCGAGTTGGTAATGATTCGAATCGATTCTTTTGATTTTATAAAACTAGATCTCTATCGTTTATTATATTATATTCGATTTGATTCGATTTCGGTTCGGTTCCGCTTTTAATGCCCCGTGAGTAAGTTTAAAGGGGGCATTATCCAAAATACATTCCTTTTACGAAACCTACTTCTGTATATATCCTTCTCCAAATATGACCATGTGACCAAAATATCTTACGTATCACACTAATTACTTGGTGAAACTATAAAAAAAAATTTAACGCTATGACCAATGTGATCATCATGTGACCATACAGTTATTCTGGTCACATGCTCACGTTTGGAGAAGGGTATGTACAGAAATAGATTTAGTAAAAGAAGGGTATTTTGGATATTTTGCCGGTTTAAAGACATGTAAGACTCAACTGACGAATAAAACTAAATTATATGTATATATATATATATATCATACTTTTTTTTTTATAAAAGCACTCACTATATATCTCGTATTGGTAATGATAATAAAGACGAATAAAAATTGTAGAATATGTTTTGATGAATAAGACAAGAATAAGAGATCATCTAACTGGGTTTAGGCGTGCCCTTTTGTATATGATAATGTCTTTTGCCAAGGGCAAACCCTCTATTTCAGACAGCGTCTTTGGACCATCCACAGGAAACATGCTATACACACTCCACTCACTGTCCAAACAAAAGTCTTTGGAACGTATCTATTCAATCGTACGATACATTTATTAAAATATATATATATATATACATACGAAGAACAAAATTTTCCTGTATTTTTTGCTTTATATTTTAAACAAAGATTTTTTTTTTATAATTTTAAAACGTATGTAATTTCCAAATTTAAAGTTACGAGATATCATTAATGATGTACGATAGTAACACATGATGGATGATGTACATATATAGTGAAAAAAAGTTTGATTTCAGAGAAGTAGAAAAGTGATTGGAATATATAAAATATGAAACAAATTGCATTATATTTGAATCTAAAATATATATGTATTGAATTTGATTGGATCCGTTTTTTGAATTAATTAACTAAATATGATTAAAATAAATAAATTGATATATTTTTGTATAAAAGTTGAATCAATCTAATATATGAATTGAATAGACACAAATATAACAGGATATTTAGAATAACCACACACACACATATATATAAATTCGATGCAGACACCATGAATAGGGGTGTCAATTTAGGGTGTCAATTTAGGTTCGAGGTCTGAAGTCTGGCCCGACCTAATCTGAAAAATAGCGGGTTTTGGACCGAAGTTTCTTGGTCCGAACAAAATCGGGCTTTCGGGTCGGTCCGAAAGCCCGATTTTTTTTTTAAAAGCAAAAAAATAACATTTACAAAGGGAGGTTCACGACCCAACCCGATCCGACCCGAGCCCAGAATGCATAGGGCCGGGTTTCGGATTTAATTATATAGGCTCAAAAAAACCGGATCGGTCTGAACCCGAGTCCGAAATTTCCGGACCGAGCCGGCCCGATTGACACCCGTAACCGTGAATAACGAGTTGACATATCTCAATGAAAAGACAGGAGAGAACGAAAACTGAAAAGGTGACCGATCATAGCCGGTGACAGAATCTCATTCTTCCTCTTTTTTCTTTTTTCTTTTTTTTTTGGTTCCTTCTTCAGGTGATACTTGGAATAATAATAACAAATTTGGTTACTTTATAATATTAATATATTATATACCCCGAATAACATGGTACGTACCATTATTCCCCCGTAACAAATGAATATTATGTAGTATTTTTATTTAAATCCACGATGGTCGTCTATACAATATATACACACACACATACCCTTGTACGTATTTTGACATATATATATATATATATATAAGAGAATTAAATACGTAGCATGCTATTGCTTAATGACGAATTAACGTGTTAGCGTATATAAGTCTATATGTTACTTTTGAGAATAATTTAATCTTTACTTTTAAATCTAATGTACAAAAAAGCAAAGGATGTTCTATTGCCTATCTATCTTATTTACATCAACTAAATAAATGATTCATGTTAAATTGTATTATTGTTTAGAAATATTTCTCGAAATACACGTAATGATCGTTTCTTATAATATATATATATATATATATATATATATATATTTTAAAAGTTTACGGAATAAATAAAACCGGTGAACAACATAGCTAAGTAAACTCAAGCTTGTTAAATAAACATTTGTTTAATCACACACCCATAATTATCTAAATTAATTTTGTTTTAGTTTTGAAATATTTAATATTCTTTATCAAAAAAAGAAATATTTAATATTACAACAACTGCAAATGTATTTTTAGACGACAGAAAAAAATGGATGACGTGTATTTATTATCATGGTTGTATGTCATAATTAAAATTTTCATCTACCATCATTATAAACATTTATCTCGTGATGGGGTCAATCATCAAGGCATCAACTACGTTATTTTTTTCATTTGAATAATCATTCTAAAATTTATTTGCACAATAATATCGAATCCATTATATTGGTATTTTACATAATTAGCCCAAAACTATGACATATATATATATATATATTTAAAAATGTAACACATGAATTTATTTAAATCGAGATAAAATTATATTAACAATTTATTTAAAAAAAGGATACAAGGAGACGAAAAAAAAAGAGAATATTGATGCGACCGTTCCCTAGGCCCTGTCAAATGATACCCGACCCGTTTCAGCTGTCTTCAACCAACCAGAGCCTGCCACGTACCCTACTTCCCTCACACGTAAGAGATCCTCTCTCCCTCTCCGTCTCCGGCAGACACGTGGGCCCTCTCTTGCCGTCTCGATAAGAGACCAAATTTTGATCGTCTCACCCCCGTCAACTGACGGCGTAGTTAACTAACGCCGTTTAATCTCTCGTTCATCCACGTATGTATATATACCCACGGCCCTCTACTCCTTCCCTCTTCTCTTCGCCCTCGTTAAAAAAAAAAAATTGGAGCCCCGTTTTCGTTTCCGGGTGATCCGATTACCCGGAAAATTTTGAAATTTTTTGGCCGTTCTCGTTTTCTGGAAGGAGAAATCTGTGCTATTTCTGGAAACGTATTAGATCTTCGAGCTGATTTCGGGATCTTTGTCGGAGATTATCGCGGTATTTTAGGTCCGGGAGGCGATCAGATTCCTTTTGTTTCTTACTCACTGGCAGATTTCCAGAATCGGAATCGTCTCGCTCGGAGAAGAGTTTGAGGGGCCAGGTACGAACGGGAAATTTTCTCTTGGACTTTCTCGAGAAACAAACAGTGGTTCAGTGCATTGTTTCTTTTTTTTGGCGTGAAGAACGAGTGGAATTTTCCTTCTCTGGTCGCCGGTTTTGATTCCTCTTTCGAACTTTTTCTGGAAACAGTGCCTTATCTGCATTTTCCCTCCGTTTGTTTGCGTTTTTGATTGATTGATTGATTTGATTGACTCGTATCGCCGTGGCCGTTTTGCTTTCCGATTTTTTTTTTTTAATTAAAACCTTCCATGTCCTGTTTTAATGGCGGATATGTTACTTCTCGTTTCTCTCCCGCCCTCTCACAATCTAAACAGAGGTTCCTCCATTTTATGATCCGTGGAAAACCACTCTTCCCAAATCATCCACCTGTAACTTCTGCATCAGTTTTCTTCATCTTTCCAGGGGAAAAAATGTTCACCATCATCGACGAATAAGCATTTTCTCGTTTCCTTTCAAAAGTTTCCTAATATACCGACTGTTCCCACTTTACTCGTACCTTTTTCCTGGAGGAAGGATTTCGCCCGTTTTGGAACGGAAAAATTCCATTCAATTCAAACCCATTCATCAGTTGTCCTGTGTTTCCCCGCATTTACTCCAATTCCTCTCTGTAACGCAATTGATCTCTGCAGGCCTTTGATGGCCTATATATAGGTGTAGATACGGAACAAAGCAAATCAGTGTTGGGACGAAAATAAGGGCGGAGCCGGAAAAGCAAAAGCAGAGCTGATTTTCGCTTACGAGGTTGAAGGAACGCTTAGTCCGAAGAAATTTACAAGAGGGTTAGTACCATTTTCGTCCTTGCTGTTTTTGATTCGATTCAATCACAAACACGAGAAAATTTTCCTAATGGAATGGGGAAAAATGTGAAGTCATTTTCTTGGGATTAAAAATAACAATGGCTTCGCCATCAGTTCTTTGCTTTTGCTAGATGAAACAGGTTTCGATCTTCGTGAAACCCTTTTCCCTAATGTTTTTCTTTCTTCTCCGATTATTACCTCAATTATTTGATTTCTCTCTCTCTCTCTCTCTCTCTCTCCCTGTCTATCCTTTTTTTCCCATCGATCTGATCATCCATAGCTTTCGTTCCTCGACATGCATTAGATTGGTCCATCATCACACAAACCCTAAAAAGAGAAACCCATGTTTTTCTTTCTCACCCACGTGACCGTGACGATTCCATTCTCTTGCAAATGCATTAAAAAAAAAAATTTCCTTGCAAGAGATAAAAATTCAAATTTCGCGTCTTTGGAATAGTGTCAAACCCGAGAAAACCAGAAGGAAACAAAGATATTTTCTTTGTTTTTGTCGATTAGTATGATTATCTTTCTTTTTTTTGTTTCTTCCATCGATCTAAATATATAATCATGTCAGAAACTTCGGCTGCTGGAAAAAAAATATTCTTTGAAGCTTTTGATGTGTTGTTTTTGTGGGAATGGGCTCTTTGCTGCACACAAAAGCATTAACACACCCCGCCTGCCCTCCCTTCTCTCTATTTAGACCACTTTTACTCACAAAGAAACAAAAACGTATTTGCAAAAACACAAAACTCTTCTCCCTCTACCCACTTTTCCCTTTAAAAAAAGGGTTCTTAAAATAGAATGCAAGATGTAATCTTGGTATATATATATATATATATATATAATTGATTGTAAGTAAGTGTGATTTCTCTATTCAGGTGTTTGGATCGATCCGAGGGAAAACATGGGAAATTTATTTATTGTTTTTCTAATGGGGGTTCCTTTGATTATCTTTTCTTTTTGTTTTAACATCTTTAAGCACTTTTGTCTTTATCAAGATTACCCCCCACCTAATCATGAACCTCAATATTTTATCTATATTTTTTATGTGTCGTCTATGTTTTATGATGTCTTATGTGAATTTGTGGATAAAACCCTCGTATATAAGTCTCACATCCAACAAATAAATCAAAAGGGTCCATTTTTTTTAAAAAATTAATAATTTGGATGATGGTCCTTTATGGGTTTAAGCTACCAACTCAACTTCCTATCGTGTCTTTGTTTTTCTCGTGTCCGGTGTGGGGTTTAGTGGTTGCCATCTGATACAAAATATACAAACAACTTGTCCATGCGTGTGTTTTATATGTGTTTCCGAAAACGACAATTCGGTCCGAGTTGCTCTTTATACGTTGTAACGACTGTTTACTACGTCTGTCGCTGTTTTTGGATAATTTTATCCTTTTTCTTACAAAAATAAATTGCCCTTTTAAGTTCTTGACAAGTGTTTATCGTATTTTGCAATTATCAGATGATTTTCCGCATTTTCACGTGAAGGAATTTCGAACCTGATTACCAAAGCTCTACTAGTTTTGGTATCAGCGTTTGTGTTTGTATTTACCCCCTTCATAATTCCAGTTACATGCTATATATATATATATATGTATGTATATTTATAAGCATAGAAACTGCTTCTGGTTTGCCCAAGTTGTCATTTTGTTGAGTAACGTTCTTTTGTGTTGTGGTTATAGGCTTAAAAAAGGGGAAGAACAAAAGCAAGCAAAGATGTTTACTTGCATAGCTTGTACGAAACAAATGGCAGATGGAGGCGAGGAGGTAGAAGGCGGAGCGCGTGGGAGCTCCACTCCCAATACTAAAGAAGCCGTCAAAAGCCTAACTACACAGGTCTCTCTCTCTCTCTCTCTCTCTTTGAAATCTTTGCTTTCCTTGTTGATCTTCTTGCTTTTTTGCACTTTACTTTGCTGCTTTTACCTAATTGCCTTGGCCGTGAAACAAACAAAGACACAGAACCCACTTAACGTATCGCAAAAGCAAAATCTTTTATTTAATGCTCCTACCAAACCGGTCCTCGAATTGTTTGAAATTTTGATTCTTTTCACTTGATGATTTCAAATTCGGCTACCCGATTCCCAACCATAAAAGTTGATTGATTTTGTTTGACGGCTTTGAACAGTATAGGGGTCACTGTTGCATAGTAGCGGTAGCCGAAGAAGTTTAGGTTTTAGACATAATCTTAGGACGGGACAGCATCACTTCAAGGAATCCCTAGAATCTTTACGGCCTATCCCTCCCTAACATCATATAGATGCTACTAGATTCCGTCTGCAGATTTTTAAATGACATAATATTTGGCCCGTTGATGCGTTAATCATTAATAAAGTTGGTTTGGACCATGCCTTAATGAGTAGGGTTTCTTGTTTTTCGGCTAGAAATAATGGATAGGATTCTGATTGGTCTCTCGAAGACAGAACACTATAGTTGTGTTTGATTAACGGGGAAGACACGGAGAAGTGTTTTTATTTTTCAAAAAATAATGTTAGATCTCTTACATTCAGTGATCGTGTCATGTGAACGACAATAAATTAATAACACACGCAGTTGAAAGTATTCATCTTTTGATGCATTTATTCGGGTGGTTGATGATTCCAGCAATAGAATGTTGATGGCTGAAGCTTTAGTGTTTCCTGTTGTGTATATAATTCTCGAGGGCTTGGGGCTTTAAATGCGTCATTGTCTAGTCACCCTTCTTTAATAATGTTTTGTGTTGTGAATAAATTTGCCTCTACCCTTTTCTAATTTGTCAGAACAAACAGATGTTTCTTGGATATCTGTGAAATATTTGATAAACTGATAAAACATTTGTTGCACATTTTTAACTGGGTGTTTTGTGAAATGCAGATCAAAGATATGGCGCTGAAATTCTCTGGTGCTTATAAACAATGCAAACCATGCACAGGGTCCAGCGGCTTGAAGAAAGGGCCCAGGCCTTACCCGGATTTCGACACTGCTTCTGAAGGTGTTCCCTATCCTTATCCGGGCGGAAGCTCGACTTCCACCCCTGCCTGGGACTTTACGAGCTCGACCCACCATCCAGCTGGTCGTCCTGAGTCGAGATTCACGGCAGTGTATGGCGGAGATCGAGAATCTATTTCGGCACAGTCATGCGATGTGGTAGTAGAGGATGATCATGAGCCAAAGGAGTGGATGGCTCAAGTGGAACCCGGTGTTCATATCACTTTTGTTTCACTTCCCAGTGGAGGAAACGATCTGAAACGGATCCGTTTCAGGTAATTGAAACTCATTTCACTTAGAACTATGGTTTGACCCTTTTTGTATAATCATCAAATGTGATCTAATGCTGGATGAAAGTAACATTTCTTGCGTGTCTTATTGTTGAAAGCCGGGAGATGTTTGACAAGTGGCAGGCCCAGCGATGGTGGGGTGAGAATTACGATAAAATCGTAGAGCTATATAATGTACAGAGATTTAACCGTCAAGCCCTTCAAACGCCTGCTCGGTCCGAGGACCAGGTAAAAGCATCAACCTTTATATCAAAAGAACAAAGCAAGAGTATGCCAAAACTAAGTTTAAGGATCTGCAAATGCTTTCTGCCTGCATTTTCTTCAGAGGGATTCAACTTATTCGAAACTCGAGTCAGCAAGAGAAAGCAAAGACTGGACGCCAAGGCAGAACTATAGACCACCTCCAGGAGCCAGTGTGCCACACCACTTCTACGGCGGTCCTAGCCCCTACGGAAC